CGTCCCATCTGCAGATGTGGGGGACACTCCGTGAGAGCCCCGAGGCTTTGCTGCCAATAGCAGGTGGACGAGGAAGAGGGCGTGGGGATGTGGAAGGAGAAAGTCTTATTGAAAGCTGGTGCAAAAGGGAAAGAGAGGCCAAAGCAGCCCCAACTGTGGCCTGCCAGGGCCCCTGCTGTGGCCTGGTGGCTTCTGGACGTGATAGCCCAGCCGTGGTCCTGCTGGACATCTGTTTCCTGGGAGACTTGTCGGAGGCATGGGAGGCCTGGTCCCTGGTCCGTAAGGATGCATAATTCTCAAGCCATGTTTTCATTTGAGAGATGCTGATTGTGAGTGTGGGCTGCTTCCCTGTGTTTCTGTAACGAGGGAATGGATTAGTGTGGAAGGAGAAGTCGGTCTATTTTTCACATAGCTCTAGAATTTTAGTGCTCAAAGGCACGCTGGAGCCAATCACCTTGAAAACTCTCATTTAAATGGAAGGGAAGGGGAGTGATCACTTACCGGGTTGGAGTGGTCTTCTGGGGTGATGACACATGTTGACCTGGAGAGAGCTGGTGGCTGCACAACATTGTGAATGTGCCAATCACCACTGATCCCTAGGCTTTGAAATGATTATTTGTATGTTATGTAGATTTCACCTCAGTTACAAAAGTAATAATAATAATAAAGTCCTTCAGAGTGGAAGAGGCTGCTCCTCCAGAGCCCTCAGCTCCTCCTGTTGGGCTCCCAGATGTCTGGGTGCGGCATCCGAGGGCCCTGGACCTCTTCAAGCCGCAGGGTGCAGGGACTCCTTAAGTGCATGTGCCATTTCTCAGCATCTCCACTCCAAGTTCCTTTTAGAGGCAGGTAGGGTGTGGATTTTAACAGTATCAGGATGTCCAATTCATGCCTCATTTTAGAATTTCAGAGAGACAGAACTGTCTTGGTTATTACCAAGTCAAGGAAAACGCGAATAGGTCACTCAGGACCAAGACACCGTCAAAGTCCTTGTTCACTGTGGGCCCAAATAACACGTGACATCCATTCACCGATCCTGTTTTGGTCAAAAACTGGCCTGGCTGCGGGCGTGGAAAGCAACAAAAATCTCAGGACGCCCTAACTTCTTACGCCAAAGGAAAGACGAAGCCTGGAGCATGAGTCACGCAATGCCGGGTCCATGTGGATGGCTGCCACTGGCAGGATGCCTCAGGCCAGGTCCCCGCAGGAAGGTGGAGGCCACAGCCGTCTCCAGGTGCCCCACGGAGCTTTCATTAGCACACTCTCTGCCAGCCTCCCATAATCAAGGACATGCCGATCATAACTTTAGGTGTGCAGGCCAGCTCCTAAAGCCCGAGTCTGCTCCATTCCATGCTGAGCATGCCCTCTACAAGCCTGTCTTCCCAGGCAGGCCAAAGACAACACAAGATCAGGCGTTCCTCCGCCTACCCGGAGAAGTCTGCAAAGCGGATTCTTCCTTCACTCCCTTTTTCTCTTCTAACATTTACCTTATGCAAAGTGCAGATTTACTGGGTGCTAACTGAAGTCTCACAAGAATGTCACCATTCACCTTACCTCAGTGTATAAATACCAGACCTCTTGTAAGCCTCTTTGGAAAAACAGCCACACCTGTGTCTGTGGCTCGAGATTTTCCTGGACATGCCCGGAAGCTGGCAGAGTAAACCTCGTTTGATTGAGATTTTTGCCTCAATCGCTTCTTTCAGTTACCAGGCCTGACGGTTAAGTGTGTCTGGGAGGATGTTGGGGACCAATTTCAAAAATCAAGAAATTCTCAACTGGCAAAGGGGGCTCCACTGCCTTCCACCCTTCCCCCACTGTCAGTCCCAGCAGTCCAGGGTGCCGCCCCCCTGACTGTCTCGGGCAATGGCGTGCGCCCTGCCCTTGCCCTCAGTGGACTTTTTTTTTTTTTTTTTTGAGACAGAGTCTCACTCTGTTGCCCAGGCTGGAGTGCAGTGGCTCAATCTTGGCTCACTGCAACCTCCACCTCCCAGGTTCAAGCGATTCTTCCGCCTCAGCCTCCTGAGCCTCCGTGGACTTTCTCAGCTGCCTGGGATGTGGCCTGCTGTGCCCCTGTGTCCCGCTTGCTGCCCAGGGTCAATGCTTCAGGGTGGCCTGCGACTGGCTCTCCAGTAATGGACTCTCCTAGGAGGGTCAGGCCCTGGCGTCCTGCCTGAGGTGCCAGAAACACACTGCCTGTGTTCAGCAGCTGGAGTTAAATTCCAGCTCCCCGGGGTGTGGCAGGGAACAGGCTGCCCTTGGCCACCACTATGGGTGGCCCACGCCCCACACCGTCCCCATGTCTGGAGCTCACAGGCCCTCTTGGGAAGGGGCCAGCAACAAGAGTTGGCTTCAGAATGAGCAAGCGGCTCAGGACTTTGTCCTTCAGAGGCCCTTGGGTCTGTTCTCAGGGGCAGGGCCGTTGGAACGCATAGGACAGGGAAGCCCATGAGGTGGCAGTCACCCCAAACTCAGTGAGGGGCACCACGGGGTCCCAAATGAACCGTTGCTCCTCCTGACTCAGGCCCTGGGCTCTCTCAGCCAGGCCTCCTTCGGTTCCTGCTTCCATCCCAAAGAGTTGTCATTCTGTGGGGCCACAGGACGGGCCTCATGGGCACATGGCCAGTGCAGTCACACAGTGCATGTGCCCCAAAGGGTTGTGTGGGTTGAGTGCTCCACCGTCACTATGTGGAGATTCTGAGAAGTGCTCTCTTTGCATCTGTGGTTTGCAAGGGAAGTCCAGGGGACAATGGAGCCAGCACTGGGGGACTGGAACCTTGGCTTTTAGGTGATTCTGACTCTACTGCCTCTCTGGGCGGGGCCTAGGTTGTGCTCCCACCCTTGCCCCCCTCCCTACCCTGGAAAGTGATCTGCCTACTGCCTGTGGTGTCTCTGGTGGGCCTGGCACCTGCCCCTGCCTGGGCAGGTGGTGCTACAGCCTCTTCCACTGCCCCCCAGGGACCTGGGGTGTCCTGTGCAGAGGCTGTGGATCAGTACGAGGCCTTGGGAAGGGAGGCGGCCTGGTGTGTCGGAGTCCCGTGGGGGACAGCCCGGGTGCCTTGTGGGCACAGCCTGCAAAGAATGCAGTGCCCTCACGCTGCTTCTCACCTGGCCCTACTGTGCTCTGCTGAGTGGAGACTGGAGCGAACATTTGCAAAGTCCTGTGACCATTTAGCACAGTGGTTTTATGGCTGTTGAATGGAATAATTTAAAAATCAGGGCTCATTTTTTTTCAGTTCATAGTTTATCAAGCAATTTAGGTTTCTTGGGTTTTACAAGCTGGCTCTGGTCCCTCCTGGTCTGACTGAGACACACAGTACAGAAGCCACCAGGCACCTGTGCGCCTGGCAGCTCTGGGACTCTGAGGGGCATTCATTGTAGTTATTCCTACCCACAGACGGGCTGGAGAGCTGGAGTCCCACCTTGAGCTCTTTCGCTGGCCTGTCACAGCTTGTGTTTCCATCATCTGGCATTATTTGTCAACATGAATCAAGGGTCCAGTGACATGCATCAGGAGCACGTGTGCCTGACAGGCAGAGCCATGTTTCCATGACGGCAAGCGTGTGTGTCTCAGAACTGGCTGTTTGCAGATGGAAATCTCAGCTATGCTCAAATGAGGGTGTATTTTTATATTGAAATCATACACTTTTTTCCTTAAAAGTCATGATGAAATCTTCCATTCATGAATCAAGGTAAATTTCCGCTCAATTGCTTTAAAAAAGTAGCTCTGTGTATACTCTTCATTTTCAAAAAGGATCGACTCCATTTTAAAAGGCATTCTCAGGGTTTAGCCTAGAGGGTTCAGAAATGGGAAACTGCTCTTCCTTTGTGAGCTGTGGGAGATGTAGTCCTCAGTTCACTGAGTTAGGGGAAAACAGCTATTGCCACCTCAAGGCTGCTGTGCTCAACACTGGCTGGTGGCTCTGGGGTGAGGAGGGTCCACTCCGGCTCCCCAGCTCTGGGCCTCTGACTAGATGACACCTCAGAGGGGACAGCTCTGGAGAGGCAGGGGCAGTGAATGCAAAGCATTTTGTTGGTGGAGAAAGCCCTCTGTGCATTCTGCAGTGACACTGTGCCGTCTGCACCGTCCCTCCCTTGTTCACCCCACGGATGCCAGCACTGCACACCTGGTGCCAGTCTTTAGGGATGGTAGCCGGCGGGGGCTTGAGGCAGCTGGGGCCAACAGCGGGAGAGTGCTGGCCTGGTGCTTGGAGCCAGGTCAGGGAGAGAGGGGAAGGGGGAGGCTCCTGGGAATGTGGGAAGCACTCGGTGGAGGGGTGGGAAGGGCCAGCGCAAGCTGAGTGCGCCACCTGTGTGAGAAACACACTCCATCCACTTGGTGTTTGGGGGAATTTCTTTTTGAGCAGAAATTTTTTACATGTATAAATAACTTCCCATTAAAAAGAGAGCGAGCCAATCTGCAATCTGGTGGGGCAGCTGGCACGCGGATGCCCCCACAGCCAGGCCTGCCGCTCCTGTGGGCTTCTCTGCAGAACTTGGGCAGGAGGTGCCTCAGAACCTCAGGACGCCCGGTTGCTGTGTCTGAGCTTTGCCCTGCTGCTGGGAAGGGTCCCCACGTGAATGTCGGCAGCACGCCATCGTGGAGAAAACGCGCACCATGCACATCGGGACGGTAAGTGTTCCCAAGAAGGAAGGGTGAAAGCCTGGGCCCCACCGTGCGGTTCCCACCGCGCAGTTCCCACTGCGCAGTTCCCACCGCCACCGTGTGTCACATCTCCTAGTCAACGGCAAATCTCGGGATATTCTTTAAACGGCGTGATTTATAAAGTATCCACATGGCTGTTTACCAGGGCCTCGGCTTGGCCTTCTACACAAACAAGGGCCTGAGAGGGAGGCCCCTTTTCTGCTGGAAATGGTCTGTTCCCAGCTGCAAGATTCTGAATGTGTCCAAACCCGAGAAAACCCAAAACACACAACACTATTGGGAAGTTTCCTGTTTTAGTGTAATGGAAATGTTAGCAGAAATAACCAACATGCTCTGAGTGTTCTGAGTTTTTTTTTTTAAACTTTTTATTTCAAAGGGCAGATAAGTATTTTGCTAGACACAACTGAAAAAAAAACAGCCAGAGAACAATTGGAGGTTGTCTTAATAAATAACAGAATGCCATTTATGTTTCTGAAACGTCATATAGCACAATACACATTTTAAATAAATAACCCACTCTGCTGCTCTGTATTCAAAACAGCCCCAGGTATGTGTGCGTTGTGGAGTGAATCCAGTTCTGGGCTTGGACCAGCCAATCCCAGTGCCGGTGGGGAGGCCGCTTCCCACGCCTCTGCCGTGCCCCTGTGCCCCCAGCTGAAGCAGTGCGGTAGCCCCGGAGGGCAGTGGGAATGCCAGGGACTGGGATGACAGTGACTTCAGGGTGCTCTGTGGCTGGCACGCCTGGGTGCCTCCAGCTGGAGGTGTTTCCTGCCTCCTCGCCCCTGGCTTCTCCAAAGTTAGTTTTGAGGCCAGTACGGAACATCAGGAGTGCTGGAAAAGCCTCTGGGGTGACGTGGTGGGCCTGAGTTCCGTCTTGGTTTCCGACCGAGGTTGTCACCCTTCCTGCCGTCGTGTGACACCGGCTCTCTGAGCTTCTCTGCTCATCGGCGCTGTCTGGTGGGCTCCGGTGTCCTGTTTTTCCACCCAGCACAGTCAGGTTCTCTGAGGCCACGGCCTGCATGGCACTCACTGGCTCTGATGTTCTGTGGCTGCAGTGCCTGAGAGGGTTGCGGCTACCTGTGCACCCCACACCCGTCTGGCCTTGCTGTCACGTGCGCATTTGGGCGGCCGCATGGGCACACGCCTTCGAGGCCAGGGCCGGTGGGGCCTTCGGTTCTCCGGCGTGGCTCAGGCGGCAGCTCCTGCAGACTTTTCTCACTGCTGTTCAGCTCTACATCTCGTTGAAAATAGCACCAGGAGTTCTCAGGTTGGCTTCTGTGTCTTTTCCAGGTGCATGTGCAAAAGGCAAGGGGAAGTCACTGTTTCTGTGCGGGGCCCTTTATCTGAACTGTCCTTGAGAGGCATTTGTGAAGGGCAGGCCCAGACCCCCTCCACGGGACCAGGGGGGTCACTGTTCCTTAAATCTGAAAGAAAGGATGAAAGAACAGCTGCTGTAACCGCTGGCAGTGGCTTAGCAAGAGATGCTAAACTTCACACGGCAACGCAAACACCATGGGGAGCCAGTTGCCCTCCGGTCCAGTGGGGACTCCCGTCCTACAGGGTGATGGACGCTGGACAAACCCTTGTACCATTCCCACAGCCTCCCAGGGCCAGGAAAGACCAAGGAGGGATGAAGGAGGGGGTGAGCAGGAAGGCAAGGGAAGCTCAGGGGCTGCTCACACAGTGCCAAAGACGCAGTTCCCTCACATTTCTACTCAGGTTTTGAGCGATTACCACCAACACACAAACAGAGGTATTTATTAGAGAACAAATGAGGGTGAAGGTGGCGTGCCACGGAAAGGTAAGCCATGAGCTTCCTTTTCTTTCTTTTAGGAAAAGCCAGGTGTGGAAGGGAGATAGGACAGAAGGCACCTTGGGGCTGGGGACAGGGCCCGAGTGGGACTTACGGAACTTGGTTCCCCGTCGCTGACCCCAGGCAGCTCAGCTCCTTGTGAATGAGGCGGATCAGGAACTGCACCAGAACAAAGGCGAGAGCACCTGTCACTGGCGCTGCAGCAGCACAGAGCGGCCCGCGTATGGCTGCCGTGAGGACCCGGCTGCGAGGCCTGGGTAGGGGGCTCTCTCCCTGCAGCACCTTCCCTGGGGACACCTCCCTGCAAGAGCAGGGGGTGAGGATGTCCAGCCCGAGGCCTTGGTGCCTGTGGGCAGGGCTGTCTGATGAGGACCCATGAAGAACCAGGACGTGCCCTGAAAACAAGGCTTTCGGGAAAGACGCAGCCTGAACTACTTCTGGATTCAAGGCATGTTTAGAATAAAATGAGTCCAATCACAAAATGACCACAGTGGGAAAAAGAAAATAAACACAAGAGGCCCACCATGCTGGTGGCCTGGGGGTGGGCTGCGAGCTTCTGAGGTGACTCTAAAGCCAGGCGAGCATCTCCTCCGACGCCAGCCCTGTGGTCTGAAGAGGCTGCCACAGGACAGCTGCCTGCCGCTGGGAGTCCCTCGGAGGCCAGGCCTGGCAGGGCCCAGGGCTCTCCACCAATGTCACACCTCAGCCTCGGCATTGTCCTGACCCAGAGCTTTAGCTCCATGCCCTTCACATGTTAGAGGGCTCAACGCCAGCTTGCAAATCCAGACAAACGGTTGTGCTACCCCCGATTTCACTAGTGCATTTGCATTTTCCAGTGTGGTTCCAGTCTGTTCCCAAGTGTGGCATCAGCCCACAGGAGGGCTCTCAGAGGGCAGCAGATGCCCTCAGACCCAGGGTGGATCACTGGGCCAGGGGAGGTGGGGAGGGGGTGCTGGAGGAGTGACTCGAGGGGCTACTTAAAAACCACACACACAGCTCCACCCACAAGCCTCAGGCCAGAGAGCTGGAAGGCGGAAACTCTTGTATTTTCTTAGGTGCTTCTGGTTCAAGCAGGAGCTTAGGAGTCCCTTGTACGAAGTGAGTTCAAGCTGCAGAGAACAGGGCCCTCCTACAGATAAGAGGCATCCAGCCGCTTGTTGTGTGAATGGTGTTTGCGACAATTAGGTGGTGAAGGTTGTGGGAACGCAGCCAGGTGCTAACAAGAGTGCCGGTGGCGATAGGAAGATTTTTGTTAAATAAATCCATCTGTGTGAATCTGAACCTCTAGCTCCAGCTACTGGCACAGGATTGCTGTGTTTCAGCCGGCACCTTACCCACATCTACATCCTACCAAGTGCGATGTGTGAACAGTACCAGCCTGAAGAGGCCTACGATGATGAGAAGCCGATCATTGAGATAAAAAGATGAAGAATTCAGTAGCAAGTGTTCTTTGTGGTGTGGGATGAACTGTCAGTGTAACAGTTCTGAAGAACAGAGATCCGACTTCAAAACATGCCCAAGTGCTTGGCCCACGCGTGCAAGAATGACCAAGGATGCCCTGCCAACTCCAGGAGCCCAGGCGACACGCACTGCAGGCCTGAGGCCTTCGACCGTGTGCCGAGGCGGTCTTGTAGGCCCATAGCCAGCCATCGGTGTGCGGGACGAGGCAGGAAGCATGGTGCCCTCCAGCCCCCGGGACACCTGCTGAGATCACGGAGGTTCTCAGCCCCAGACTTGGGAGGAGGCACTTGTCTATTTTGGAGAAATAATACCAAAAATCATGTTGATCAGGGAAGAGAAAAAGGTATGTCTAGTTCCTAGGTTTGAAAAGCCCAGTGCGAGCTCACGGGCCGGCTGCACATCCCGGTGCTGCTCCTTCTCCCCTGCGGCAAGCCTCGTCGCCCCAGTGTTTCGGCTTTAGGTCTCTTTCTCCCAGTGCGGCGAATCCAGCTTCCTCTGGTTATTATTTACCTGTCACGTACTTTCCCATTCCTTTGCTTTTGTCTTTTCAGAATTCTTCAGTGTATCAGGTGTGTTTCTTGTAAATAACCAGTGCCTCTATTTTTAAAAGCAACCTGACAATCTCTGCTCCTGATGAGTTTAGTACATTTACAGTTACCGTGTTGATGGTATGCTGGAATAATTTTCATCCATGTCGCTATGTATATCTATATTTACCCTAGTTTTCTATGCTTCGCCTGACCCTAGGTTCTCTTGGATGAAGTCTTCATTTTCCTCTATCGCCTGGAAGGTTACACATTCTATTGCTATTGACTTGATGATATAAGAACTGCTGTGTGCTAGAACTCTGATTGTCCCACTTGTACCTTACATTTTAGTTATCCAGTATTTCAGTTCTTTTTTATATTGCCCAAATTAGTCATTACTGCTGTTGTTTTAAACTCAGTCAGAAAGCTTTTTCTGTAAAGGTCTAGATAGTAAATATTTCAGGCTTTGCAGCTATATGGTCTCTGTTGCACATTCTTTTGTTGATTTTTTAAAGAAACCTTTAAAAATATAAACCATTCCTAGTTGGAGAATAATACAAAAACAGGCCACAGTTGGCTGGCCCCTATTTTATATGGTCAATACTCATTTAGATTTGTCCTTAGGAATACCACTTTTTTTTTGTTTGCATTTCTCCTTGCATCTCAGACTTCCCTCCTGGATCTAACTTCCTTTTTTGTTTCTTGTTGCCCAGGCTAGAGTGCAATGACACGATCTCAGCTCACTGCAACTTCTTCTGCCTCCTGGGTTCAAGCTATTCTCCTGCCTCAGCCTCCTGAGTAGCTGACATTACAGGCACTTGCCACCATGCCCAGCCAATTGTTTGTATTTTTAGTAGAGATGAGGTTTCATCATGTTGGCCAGGCTGATCTTGAACTCCTGACCTCAGGTGATCCACCCACCTTGGCCTTCCAAAGTGCTGGGATTACAGGCATGAGCCACCATGCCTGGCCCCTTCCATGTTTAAATACACTGTTTAGCAATTTTTGCTGGGAGCACCTTTGGTTAAAAACATTTTCACTTCACCCTTATTCTTTGTCTAGGTACAGATAAATTTATCTAGCGACACAATCCTAAGCTGTTTCATTCCTGAATCTAAGAATGTTTGTCTTTCATGTATATGGAAAATTCTCAGCTATTTTCTCTTAAAATATTGCTTCAAATCTAGTCTACTATCTTTCTCTGAAATTCCTTTCAGATAATATTAGGCCACCTCATTTGGCCCTCCATTTTATATTTAATTTCTCTTTAATATTTTCCATCTCTCTTTTTGTGCTGAATTCTGGATAATTTCTTCATATCTATATTTCACTTCAGTAATCTTCTCTTCAGCTATATCTAATTTGCTTTTCTAACCTATCCATTGAGCTTTTCCCAGGCTAAAGGTCACAGTTTTCATTTCTATAACCTCTGTTTGGTTTTTCAAGCCTGCTCTGTCTTTTTGAGTGTCTTGTTCTTTTCTTCATGAGGTCAGTTTCCTTTCTTATGTCATCAGTCACATCGCATATATTTATTTTTAGTTTATATAAATATTTTATCTGCAGTTTTGGGGAGTCCAATTCCACCATTTTTATGTCTGTTACTGTCATTCAAAGTGGATTGCTTCCTTATGTTTCATAATTTTGGACTGTGAGCTCATCTTTAGTAGGGTGGTAGCTACAGAATTCCTGTGCTGTAGGGTTAAGATTTGTCCCTATTTGCTTCTGCATAAGAACCATGGATATCACTGCCTACAGACCAACTTTGTTCATTTTAAATATATTTATATAAGCTCAAAGATTAAGGCTGACTGTGGGCAGGTCTATGGTTAAAAATTCTCAGGGGAGATTTTTTCTCCCTGATCCGGCTAAGATGGGGAGATTCCCATTGTCTTCCTGTGCCAGTGTGCAGATGTCATCTAGTACACTCTTTCACTGTAAGCATGGCCCTTCAGGATCCTGGCTCTATAAGGAAGTCTCCAGTTCCAACTCCTCATCTTGTGCCAGCCTAACACCTTGTCTCTTACCCGGTATGGGCACAACCACCCCAACCCCTTGATTCCTGAGACTGGTATCATTCCTGGACATCTCTATCATGAGCTTGTGTATTTATGTTGCCTTTACAATTTGGGCTCTTGGGGAATTCCTTTACTTTCTTATGAGCTTGTGCCTCAAAACAATTTTCAATACATATTACTGGGTATTTCTGAAGAAGATATTTCAGATTCTCTAAACAGTTGTAATGATGGGAATTTTACTGCTACCTAGTGGAACTACATCTGGAGGCTTCAATAGAAACCTCTGGCATTAAAAAAGACCCATAAATAATCCAAAGAACAGCCATTTAAACCTAGTAAGTTCATAGGCTGAGAGTTGGTATTTGATTTTGTATGTGGTAGGGAAATTGGGTTTTAGAATTTCCTGGAATTAATGTAAGACTTCCACTTAATTGAGTGAGTTGATATTTCTACAATTCCCAACTCATTTTTATTGGGATCAGCCTAAGGTTTTGCCTGGTGGAGTGAGAGGAGAGACACAGCTGTGGGTCTGGGGACTTTGCATGCCAGATGACTTGTGAAGATAAGTATATGTGCCCCTCATAGGTGCACATCT